TAAGCGTACAACTTCAAATTTACTTGATCGGTTTTGAACCAAATCTATCCCATTTTTCCTCCTTAAAGTGTCTACATAAAAAGCATGTTTTTCGATCTTTTTGGGGCTTAGCTGGAGGGGGGCGCAGTAGGTTCTACAAAAGGTTGTGCACGCGTGTGTCACTACAAAATGCAGTGCATGACACAAGTCATCCAGAAACTAGGACATCACGCATCGAACCTGTGCTTTGTGACATTGTGGGTGAAAGGAACTCTGAGCATGGATTCGTTGAACTTGGGTGAAACTTGACCATTGGACAAAAAGAGCAGGAACCTAGTAGAATGGGATACGTTTAGATTATGATTGGTAATCGCACGTGATCGCCAAAACAGATGTGGCAAGAGCAAGGCACAGAGATTTTGAACTGCAATCGTCAGAGCTATGGGGCAACAAAAACGATCTAAGCGCACAACTTCAAATTCAATTGATCGGTTTTGAACCAAATCTGTCCTATTTTTCCTTCTTAAAGTCTCTACATAAAAAGCATGTTTTTCGATATTTTTGGGGCTTATCTGGAGGGGGGCGCAGTAGGTTCTACAAAAGGTTGTGCATGCGTGTGTTACTACAAAATGCAGTGCATGACACAAGTCATCCAGAAACTAGGACATCACACATCGAACCTGTGCTTTGTGACATTGTGGGCAGGTAGAAGGTTGGATCCTTTATGCAAGCCCCCATGGCGGTATGATTCATTGATTGTTCCATGGAGGTAACAGTGCTGATTCCTCATGTGAACCTTAATACTGGTGTGGTTAAGTGTTCCATGGGGATGATATCTTCAGGCAAGTTCCCTTGATTGGTTGATGTTGGTTGATGGTTGACCCCCGTCGTGATTGATGGTACTACTTCTTATCGGAATTTCGTCCTTTGGGTTTTGCTGGCATTCTGGGGCCTGTAGTCCTTGCATCCTGCCCTCTTCTGTCCTCAATTGTTTCTTTACCAATTCAGCCCGGCCAACGTTTTTCTAAAATTGTTTCCATTAATAAAACCCTCTCGCCTTCGTGATTTGACACTGCTCGAGAATGACTGGGCGCACATAGTCTTGCCCCTTGACCATATCACCATTTATGAATTTATGACCTACAAACACAGAATCAGTTGCAAGCCCTCAGGACCAAAAAAAAACGGGCTTAGGTCGCCGCTCAAACCGTGGGTAACGTCGTACATGTGGATTTGAAAAAAATAAAAGAGCTTGGTGTGCTGTTCATTCGATTCATGTTTCTGTCTAGATGGTTCTCACAAATATTGATGGCGTTGAAGCAGTTCGTTTCCGTATGTTTGCGACCCTTTGGAAATGGAACGTGTATTTGCATAGTATTTGCAGCAGTGTCCTCTCCATGGTGCTTGCAACATTTTAAAGTGTCGATTTTCCAATCGGCAACAGCAGATACACCTTGGTTTGTGACAGTTGCAACATTTCAACGTTTCCCTGGTGAGGGTTCTCTCAACACCCTGAGATCGAATCTTCCTTTCACATGTTTGCTACATGTTTGACTTGGAACCTTTTCTCCCCGTGTCGTTTGCATTTTGCTCGAACATGGTGGAACGATTACGAACGCCCGTGTGAATGTTGGGTTTGGGAACCGAACCGTCCATTATATAAACAAACACATGTTTGGCAAGAGGGATGTTTTACTGGTTCGGCAGCGCGGTTTTACCGAAGGTATATTGTCTCCCAGCTTCCAAGTCCAAACATGCGGACCCCAAAGCCCCACATGGCAGCACCTCATTCAATTTTCTTTTGTTTGCAACGGTGATGTTTCCTGCTCATGGCCTATTGTTTGTGCAGTTTCAATGATGAAAGGTGAATGCATTTTCTTGTGTAAAATGAATCTGCGGTGGCTAAAATCGTGCAATCACTCCAAGATGCTCCTAGTTTCTTCCCCGAAAGATTCCGCGAATCTTCCGCGGACTGGGTTTTGGTTCCTCAGTGTTTCCGCGCTTTAGGCCACAATTTCGGTCGCAAAAGGTTTTCGAGGTGCGTGAATGGTTGCCATGGTGCGTGTCAGGCTCCATTCTCATGACTGCCCCGCGTGTGCTTCATTTGTGCGACGTTGTACGGTTCCCAAACGCAACATTCTCATGCAACACAACAGGAATCACCACTCCAAAAGTGGGTCAGTTTCCGGTGTTTGCAGACTGTACTGAGATGCAGGGGTTCATGTTTGTTTCATACAGCCGGCGCGTGCATCCATTTTTTTCGCGCTTGCGCAAGACATTTTTCTGGACCTGAAAGGCTGACAAACATCGCCATGTTCGTTCTCAACACCAGCAGTAAGATAGACTGAGAGTTGTCAAAACTGCAGGGCTTTCAAAACACGACCTAGCAGTTAGACCTAACATCAGACAAACTTTGGTTTTCAGAGCTTTGTTGGAAGACTGAAATCAGCAAAAATCCACCTGCCAGACTGCACACCCACAGCTTATTTCGCCCCTGAACAAGCTATCAACCAGCCCAAACGGACAAACGGCAGCAGCCAGATAGACCGCAGCCAAGCATGAAGGTGGGAAGAAGAAACCGCTCGTCCGTATCAAGGGTCACAAACATCCCACCAACATGTAGGTCTTTTCTGATGATGTTAGAATGACAACACATATCAAAATCAGCAACTGTGGCCGTTCCCTTTCAGTGCTGCAAGTGTTGCAAACCTGTGTGCCAAGCTCGCATCGGCAGAGCACACTTGACCGCGGCATACTGTGGCAAATACGTTGGATGTCGAAGGGTACAACAGCTACAAGCCTCAAAAGGTTAGATCCTGAAGCTGAAACATAGACTTTCCAAAAGGGTACCACCCTACACCTACATTGCAATCGTTGTGGAACGTAGGAATTGCCATGGTGCAAAGAGAACAGTGTCAAAGCGCAGTACTTGTGGCCGACGAAACTTCGAGCGTCCCAGTTGAAGTACAGTGAAGGGCGCATGGTGCCCAGGAACAATTTCTTAGTTTCCCACTTGCAAAGACCGAACGGTGTCCGACATGTCCTGATCTTCTTTGACTGAATGTTTGAACTCAGATTTGTTAGGGACAATTCTGATCGCGTAGTGTGATTCGCTGACCCTGGATATGATCCTGAAAATAAGTTGACGCAACGTTTGTTCAATGCTATTGTGTGGTGGGTGAGAGTTTAGAACATTGTTGCATTCACTGCATGAGAGCGACATCGAGTATCAGATTGATGCTAATGCACCAACAAGAGCATAAATCTGTCTGGCGCTGTTTTCTTTATCGCTGCTCGTCCGACCACAGAGGGACACCCTATTGAAATCAAACATCGCATCCCGCCGTTCAGCCCTCAATGCGACCCCCTTTTGGCCGTCTCCAGTTGGGCATGCGCCCGCAGTCACAACGGACATCGCAGCCGTTCGCTGCCTTAAAAATGAGGGAGTCTTGGTCTCTGGGACGAAGTCACTATCCAAGATATCTCAAAGGCTGGTCTCTCCCACCGAAACAAATCGATCATAAAACGGGTAGAGTGATGGTTATATCATAATTAAGTCTTACGCAACATGTTTCTAGTAGTGGTGCTATTAATTAACCTGCTTGTTGAAGTAATAGATGTTTTTCTCAGATGGACCAAGACGCTGTGACCAAAACTCCCTGGGCAGGTTGCACGGGCCACACTCAGACTAATCGAAGCATTGGTAGACCTTCGCCGAGAGACGCGGGTGAGAATTAAGATGCCCCAGCTGTATCAAAAACCTTGCATCATCCGTCAGCCCTACAACGAGTACCCGAGTCACCTTGAAGAAAAGAGCGAAGATCCACAGGACCAAACAGGTGGTCGCGCAGAAGTAAGCCTAGCCATGAAGCCGCACTTCCAAAGGGCATGGCTAATCACAGAGACCAAACTGTACCTACATATGTGTGTGTATATATAATATAGGTATGTAGATATATAGATATGTAGATAGACATGTAGATATAATATAGACATGTAGATATAATATATGTACGTAGAAAATGGTACATATCTACATGTGTAAATATACTGTATTACATTTTATATATATAATGATATATATATATAATCAGAATGTAAGGTAGTTTCTATCCCCAAATGAAGCCTGGAAGATTGAGGTAGTACTTCATTTACCCACTGCTCTCTGCCTGGAATTCGGTCTGCAGAATCGAAGAGATCAGCAATGACATCCCGGCGCCCAACAATGCCCTGCAGCGGCTGCGGCTGCGGCCCACTGAAAAGAGATGAGCAGCTCAGATGATTTATAGGCTTTATTAGGCTGCATAGTCCCCAAATGGTTGATACTTGGGGATAATATGATGTTTGTATTGTCTCATTGTGGATCTCATTTTAAAAAATATTTTTTGTTATAAAAAAAAGTGGGTTTCTTTCACCGAGATCATCCACCCAAAACAGCAAACACTGTTTTGGGTCCCCCACCCGATCACCACCAGCGCAATGGAAGCGCCCATCTCCTTCACGTTGGGCTTTTGGACCTCAAAAAACACCAGGTCGTTCAAGGACAAAATCTGGGAAGTTTCGTCTTTGACACGATACCCTCTGGTAATTTAACAGTTGCTAAGGAAAATCATGTTATCTATCTTTAGTAAGGAAATCATTGAACCAAATGGACCATTTTCGCAAACTCTTGAATTACGTCAGGGTAACTTCTGGGTGTTTCCCGGTTTTGTGAAGATTCACGAAGCTTCGACTTGAGAGGATTCATCAGTTGGTTTGTTAATTGTTCCTTTTCCATTCAGCTATCAGAATCCCATGTTTTTTTCCCGTCTTCTGGGATGATCTATCAATGAAGCTATGAGACGCATGCAGCATGGGTGCAGAGCGGCAGCGGACAGCTCCTTTTGAGCATTTTTGTGTGTTGCTCTGTCAGGTTCCCCCCATCTCCCTCTCGCACGCCAGCCATCCAGAGCCGTTGTACCGCTCCGAATGGGTCTTGTTGCTGACAGCGCGATCTTAGTCTATCCCTTCATGGGAAGGGATTAGTTTCCGGCCTCCTGGTCCGAAGTCCAGAGGGTCAGATTGTCTCGCAACAGCTGCATGATCAAAGTCGAATCCTTGTAACTGTCCTCTGCCACATTGTCCAGCTCAGCAATGGCATCCTCAAAGGCGGTGCGCGCCATCTTACAGGCCTCATCAGGATCATTCAGCACCTCGTACATGAAGACCGAGTAGTTCAAGGCCAAGCCAAGACGAATTGGATGTGTGACGGCCAAGTCCTATGGAGATCTCATCTCCATCCACATGAAATGATTGATGAAATCCCGAAAATAATGGGTGACCCGAACATTTTTGCTCTACATGTACTATATATACATATATATGATATTATATGTGTATATATATATATATAGCTCATATACATATTATATTATCCCCGAATTTGTATGTAATTTTCATCGAAAAATCCAACCATCCCTGTGGTTTCCAAGAATTCACCGTAGTGATATGAAAAAAATGGGACTCGAATGGGAATCCTTCGGAATCCAACCCCTGAAGACCCAGATGGTTTGAATTTCTGTTTTCAACAAGATGTCCCTCACATTCTCATCACATGTTTCCATTCGCAAGACTTCACGGGTTTAAAAATCCACCGTTCATCCACCTTTCAATACAGTTCTCATCAGTTCTCACTTGACTGGTTTCGTTTATAGAAACCACATCAGAAACCATGTCTATCCCTGTATTTTTCCCCATGGTATTCCCATGGCGCCTCACTGGCCACCTTTGCGGCTTCGGCGTAAGCCTTCCGCGCTTCCTCGGCAGCCTTGCTCTTCTCGTCGCCGCTGCGGAACTCCGCAATGTAGCGGTAGTAGTCAGCCTGGGATCCATCGGGATCCAGGGGGCACCGGGGATCTGTGGTGGTCAAAACGGCCAAAAAAGGATGGGGAAAATGCTCCAAACCACCAAAGAAAGGGGGACGAAACTTGCGGAAAGCAGAGACACTCTTTGAATTTTATGATTCGATAGATTTGTCCATGGATCGGAACTGACTTTACCAAACCGAGGTTTGCTCTCTGATTTCACCAGAGCTGGTTTTTTGGAAACCAGATTGGCATACAATGAACTAAGTTTCAACGCTGAAAAGAAGGGATGTATCGAACAATGAAAATGGAGATCATGATCAATTTGGGTCATTAAGAAGAACCGTGGAAAAATATCCCGGCAAGAGACCCCGAACAGTGTGGGGGAGTGGGAGGATAATGTATGATAATGTTGCTGTTGATGATGATGATGATGATGATGATGATGACAAGGAGGAGGAGGAGGAGGAGGAGGAGGATGATGATAATGTTGCGGACGATGATGTTGAGGATGATGGCGTTGACAATAATGTCCTTGGGTAAAAATAGAGGGGCCGGTTTGGTATACCATCTATCATTATTTACCTGTTGTTAAAGGGGTAAACAAACCCCTTTAATAATCAACCAACCAATGGGAAAAGGACATCTATGGACGTTGAGGATGATAAGGTGCAGGATGATGATGTTGAGGATGATGAGGTGGAGGAGGATGATGTTGAGGATGATGATGTTGAGGAGGATGAGGATAAGGTTTTTGGCTGATGTTGAGAAAGAGGATGATGATGATGATGATGATGATGATGATGATGATGATGATGATGCTGGTGGTGCTGATGATGTTGAGGATGATAATGTTGAGGAGGAGGATGAAAAGGATGATGATGTTGCGGGAGATGAGGTGGAGGCTTTTGATGTTGAGGCTTATGATGTTGAGGACGATGAGGTCAAGGGGGAGGAAGATGATGATGCTGAGAATGGTGATATTGAGTAGGAGGAGGAGGAGGAAGATGCTGATGATGATAATGTTGAGGATGATGGTGTTGAGGAAGAGAACCGATCCCAAGACTGGGACCCACACTTTGTACGAGCCTGCAGAGTCGAAATGCACTTGGACATGTTACAAGAGCCACTTTATGCGAACTGTGAGTAAAGACGCAGGGCCCAGAAGCGCGACGCAGACTCTGTGGGAACCTGCGCAGTCGGAGCCACTTTATGCGGAAATTTACAGGAAAAATGCCGGGGCCCAGAAGCGCGAAGCAGACTTCGTGCGGGCCTGCGCAGTCGAAGTGCACTTAAGACATTTCACAAGAGCCACTTTATACAGAAATTTACAGGAAAATGCCACCCCCAGCTGGAGCACGCTGATCAAGCACCGGCCTTTATACTTACCGTAAGAACCCCTCAGTGAGGACACACTACTTGGGGAACTGCCAAAAGAAAAGGATTTCATGTACGTAGCTTGAATTTGACAAGCAAAAACAAATGATTAATTAAGCGGTGGATCAACCATCCGTCCCCCAAAAACATGGTAACACATGTTTTTCGCAATCCTGCGTTTTTTATTCCAATGTACTAATTAAACCTCACGTTTTGTTAATTAATGAATGATGTGTTTGGACTTTTCACGACGCAAAATTTAGGCTGAATATGTTCCTTTTTTCATGTTGTCGCTCAGCTGTCACTTTGCCAAACTGTGCCTCAAAATCCATTGCTGAATCCTGGGACAGGGAAGTAGAATCAATTGTAGCATCAAGTCTGTCTGCAAGTGCAAGAGAAGATCTCACAACGTAGCATCAAGCGTATGTGCAAGTGCAAGGGCAGATCTCACAACGTAGCATCCCACGCGTTTGCGCGCAAGTGCAAGAGAAGATCTCCTAACGTAGGATCAAGCGTGCCTGCAAGTGCAAGAGAAAATCTCACAATGTAGCAATCAGGATGTTGGAAAGTGCATCCACAAGAGCAAGAGAAGATCTCCTAACGTAGCATCAAGCCTGTCTCCAAGTGCAAGAGAAGATCTCACAACGCAGCATCAAGTGTATGTGCAAGCGCAAGAGAAGATCTCACAATGTAGCATTCAGGATGTTGGAAGGTGCATCCACAAGAGCAAGAGAAGATCTCATAATGAAGCATCAAGTGCATCCGCAAGTGCAAGAGAAGGTTCCTAACGTAGCATCAATTGCGTCCGCAAGTCACAAAGAAGATCTCACAACGTAGCAGCAAGCGTGTCTGCAAGTGCAAGAGAAGATTTCACAAGGTAGCAACAAGCGTACGCGCAAGTGCAAGAGAAGATAAGGTAACGTAGCATCCCACTGTGTTGCCAGGGCAAGAGAAGATATCAAAATTTAGCCTACCCTATGTGTGTGTGTGAGTAAACATGCTCCACCCCACCCATGTAGCATGATAACAACAACAATGCCCCAAAAGTGTTGTGAGAAAACGTGTCACCAAAGACATAGGCATCTACCTGCTTCCATCATCCAAGGTTGAGACTGACATGTCATATTGTAATGTCAAAAAGAAGATTGCATTGTTGAAATAAAATCGAAGGCCTAGAACACTCTGGGCTCCCTACTCTGGACCCACACCCGTATCAACGCAGAATGATCACAACATCTCAATACATCCAAATTGGGATCGAATGAGTTTGTCTGAAAATGGTGTACTGTATATCCCTCAAATGGAATTGTTTAATGCAAGTACCGAGATATATAATGATGAGGCTTTATGGGCTCTATGTTTCGGGCATTTTCGGACAAAACACACACTATAAAGACAGACATTTCCTAACATTGAAAAAACGCATTGATAATAGTATATAGTTGGTTGCACGAGTAAAATTTATTTTAACACAAAACTACCATCATTTCGCCGAGTATCTTTCATCTTCTGATAGAAGACTTTGGACTCCGCCTGTGTCGCCTTAGGGATGAGACCCTGATCCAGCAACTTCAGGATGGTGTCGCAGATCTTCTGCAGTTCATTCTCTACCTTGACGCGGTAATCCTTGGCATAGCCCGCCTGTGTCTCGTTGCCCTTGGACTTCTCCTGGCTGAGAACGATGTTGGAGGCAGGTTTTTCGGCATTGGGAAAAAAAAAAACGGGCCCGTGGACATATGGGAATATCCATGCGGAAGCCAAAGTCTTAAAAAATGTTCTTCCAGAATGGAAAGTTTGGTGATTGGTGTTGCAAATGTGTTGGCGTTGTACTATATACACTTTGACTTGACATGTCAATACGCTCAATATATTCCAACATATTTTTACTGTACCTGTACCTAGCACCGTGCGTACCTTGCGCATTTAATGATTTCTTCTCAGATCTACCTAACTCGTCATGTTTCAACGTGGACTGGATTTTTTCTTTGACATGTATTGGAAGCATGGTATCCACTGCATGGGCCAGTTGACTTGAATGCGATTGCCCCAGCCCACCCCCACGGGGTTATAAAAGCCACAAGGCAACCATGTGCAGTTGGGCAACCAGCAACAACTTTGCCAGTTTTATATCGGGTACAGCATCCCTATGTCATGAAGGTTGAACGCCGATGCTGGTAAAAAAAACCTACTGTAGCATATCAATGCAGATCATATCTTCCATCGAATGATGGTGAACTTCCGTCGCTAGTTGCGGAAAATCCTTGAAACCTCCCCAAACGTATTGCAAATTGGTTATATACATATATATATATATATTGGTTTCTATCCCCCATTTCACACAGGTTGAGGCCCCACCTTTCAAAAAAAAACATCGAAACCATCGACTCAGTCAATACCCGGGCGTGGGTTAAAACCAAACCTGTTGGACCAAAAAATCAAATAGGTGACCTTTACAGTCAGAAATGGTCGAGTTATAATAGAATTGCCGAACTATGTCTGGGCCCAATGTTGCACCACAATGCCCTAAGCGAAGGCCGCCCCTGACCGAATCAATGCGCCCCTTAGAGACTGAGTGAATGCGGGAATGAACGAATGAGCGAATGAGCGAATGAGTGCATGAGTGATTGAGTGAGTGAATGCATGCGTGCGTGCGTGCGTGCGCGCGTGTGTGCGTGCGTGAGTGAGCGAGTCACTGACTGACTGACTGACTGACTGACTGACTGACTGACTGACTGACTGACTGACTGACTGAAACACTCGCCCATCAACACATCGCTCCACGACCAACCATATCCACAATAAACATGTAGTCCTCAACCTTCAATGCAACATAACTTGAATCCTTTCGCAAAATGAAAACATTTTGAAAATCCAAAAACAAATCCAATACAGTCGAGCACACAGTAATTTCCAGCCGTCGCATTCTCGCCGCTGCACCGGGGTCGACGAAGAGCTAGAGGACGAGCTCGTCGACGAGGAGCGCGAAGCCGCCTGTAACCATTTAACCCTCATAAGACTTATCAACCTTTGAACGAGCATTGCAAAACACTCAGAAATAAACCGTTCAACCGCCAACCAAGTTTTTACTTTCAAAGATAACTGCTCAACCATTCCCCTCTATCCATACCCTTCCGTTCTGGTAAATCCACTCGATACCCGACAAGACAAATGCACGTTGAATCCGCAACCTTGCCCGAATCATTTTGCAAACAAGATATCGCATCTGCAAATCACGCGGTTTCGTTTTTAAGTCCAAAGAATAATGCCAACTTCCGGCGAAAACAATCTGACCTACTCCCCGCGCCACACCACTTGCCTGCTTCCGAGCAGCCGCCACTGGCTGCTGCGGCGCGGAAGAAGGAGAAGCAGCCTATCGCAAATATGCACTCTTTCCCTTCAATGCACATGCTGCGTCATGTTTCTTCCTAAATCCACCCACCAAAAAAATTGACCACCTCAGAAACGAACACGTCAAATGAACCCAATAGTGCTACTAACTTACACAATTTCACATAGAACTCCTCTCGGCAGCCCCAAGTCCGCCACATCATGCTTGCATTGCCGCAACCAAGCAATTTTTTTAACGTTGACCTGCCTGGCGCTGCAACTTCCTCTTTTTCTGCGGCGGGGTCTGCGTCACAGAAGGCGCCACCTGTCCGCAACATCCAGGGCAGAAAAAGAAATGATCTTGCACCGAGGCTAAGTTCCAAGCCTCCGGAGGCGCGCTGGTTAGGTGAAACCAGGAACCATCCGCGCGCATGACCCTGCTCCCCTGGTGCGGGGGAGGGGTCACAGCCGCGGGCCCTTTGGCTTGCAAAACCGGTTCGGAGCCCGCCCATCCTGGCCGCATCAACCAGGAGGGCACAACATCCAGATCCCCAATTCAATGACAATGGCATACTATCATTTAAAATCATTTTAACGAAAAGCCGTTCGTATGTTTTCCAAATTGATACTTCGCTCATGGAAACACAATCAATGCCCCCACCGTTGACAAAAGCAGCCCACATACTTAAGCCCCTGTCCTGTGGCCACCAATTTGGAGGCACTCCAGGCAGTAAAGCCAAAGGGCTTGACCACCTGGAGTGAACCGCCACTTCGTCCCTTGGTACTCCTGCGTTCGAGCAGGAACATGATCAAAAAAAATACGCAATTAATATACATCCACCAAGTCAAGTCATGCAACAGAATTGCATCGAACTGACGTCACAACCTAGTTCCCAAAAACCTTTCCGCCAACTCATCATATAATGCTACGATCGCTTCAATTAGATGACCTCTCTACATGAAGAACCCATTTGTCCTCCCACGCCGTCTGGAGGAGAGGCTGCAGCGTCGTGAGCTGGTGCTTCCCGCAGGAGCAGTTCGGAGACTGACTGGCTGACTAACTGACTGACTGAGTGACTGACTGACTGACTGCGTGAATGAGTGAATGAGTGAATGAGTGAATGAGTGAATGAGTGAATGAGTGAATGTGTGAATGAGTGAATGAGTGAATGAGTGAATGAGTGAATGAGTGAATGAGTGAACGAGTGAATGAGTGAATGGGTGAATGAATGAATGGAATGAATGGAATGAATGGAATGAATGGAATGAATGGAATGAATGGAATGAATGGAATGAACGGAATGAATGGAATGGATGGAATGGATGGAATGGATGGAATGGATGGAATGGATGGAATGGATGGAATGGATGGAATGGATGGAATGGATGGAATGGATGGAATGGATGGAATGGATGGAATGGATGGAATGGATGGAATGGATGGAATGGATGGAATGGATGGACTGATCGAATGGACTGAATGGACTGAATGGACTGAATGGACTGAATGGACTGAATGGCATGAATGGCATGAATGGCATGAATGGCATGAATGGCATGAATGTCATGAAGGGCATGAATGGCATGAATGGCATGGCATGAATGGCATGAATGGCATGAATGGCATGAATGGCATGAATGGCATGAATGGCATGAATGAATGGCATGAATGGCATGAATGGCATGAATGGCATGAATGGCATGAATGGCATGAATGGCATGAATGGCATGAATGCATGAATGGCATGACTGGCATGAATGGCATGAATGGCATGAATGGCATGAATGGCATGAATGGCATGAATGGCATGAATGGCATGAATGGCATGAATGGCATGAATGGCATGAATGGCATGAATGGCATGAAAGGACTGAACGGAATAAACGGAATAAACGGAATGAATGGAATGAATGGAATGAATGGAGCGAATGGAATGAATGGAATGAATGGAGCGAATGGAATGAACGGAATGAATGGCATGAATGGCATGAATGGCATGAATGGCATGAATGGCATGAATGGCATGAAAGGACTGAACGGAATAAACGGAATAAACGGAATGAATGGAATGAATGGAATGAATGGAGCGAATGGAATGAATGGAGCGAATGGAATGAACGGAATGAATTGAATGGAATGAATGGAATGAACAAACGAACAAATGAATGGATGAACGGGTGAATATGAATGAGTGAAGGAGTGAATGAACGAATGAATGATTGAATGCATGCATGCATGAATGAATGAGTGACTGAAGGGCTGAATGACTGAATGGTTGAATGAACAATTGACTAATTGACCGATTGACTGATTGACTGAATGACTGCATGAATGACTCAATGACTGAATGACTGAATGACTGATTGACTGGTTGATTGAATGACTGAATGACTGATTGACTGGTTAACTGAATGACTGAATGACTCAATGACTGAAGGACTGAAGGACTGAAGGACTGGGCAACTACTTCTTTCATGGCGCATGAGGAAAAAAATTCGGTATGAGGAAAAGAGTTGAGCATGTTGAACCAGGTGTCCAGGACATTGCATGCATAATGTCCATTGAACATCCTTGAAAACCATTAGCCTAGTCTAACTGCAAGTGGGTCTTATCCAAAACCTAAGTGGATCTTTCAAAATCTTTCGAACCTCAGTACCCAACCAAAGCTATTTGCAGCTCAAGTGGGGTTGACATGGCTGAAGTGCTGAGCTGCGATAGTAGCTCCGAAAGCAGCAGCAACAGTTGCAGCAGCAGCAGCAGCAGCGCTGATGAAGAGGACGGGTTTTATTCTGAATATATTAATGTATATTATGTGAAGCATCGGGTTCCTATTAATAATTAAGCACCCCATGCAGGAGAAGCTGCCCCAAAGTGTGATCCAGTACTTGGAGATTGGTCGCCTTTTCCTACAACTTACAGGCTGGGGACACCATGGCACTCCCAGAGGTAACTCACTTTGGGAAAATGGCAGCCGGGTGCGACCGGCAATCCCACCACACCCACATGCTGAGAAGAATCACACCAGGTATGAATTATTGTGTTAGGCGTTCATCACAATGTTTGCTTAAGTTTCTCTTACTAAGTTACTCCATCCACATACAACAACCCATCAATCCATGAAGGAACCAGTTGGAGACTGGAAACGAACCAGTTACCCCTGGATGTGGCTCACTGTATTTGATGTACTTGCACACAGGGCGTCGTAGGTATGATTGTTCCCGCCCTTTCCTTGCTGAGACCCCTACCGGCCGCGGTGGGAGCAGTGGCGGCGGCACATACGCCCCTTGCCGCACCACTGCTCCCACCTGCAGTGGCCGGCCCCTTGGATTTTCATGCGGTGGCTTTTGCGCCACCACTCAAGATCCAAACGCAACATTCTTTTGAGTGATGGGAACCAATTCTTGAAACATCTCTCGAACCCCAACATCAACATATAGGAATCTCGAATCCTCAATTTTGAATGTGCTTGATTTTGAGTACGTAGGGGTTCTCGAAGCCAATGTGCAAATTATTTTGCACAAAGCCAAATGTAAGCATATACAACACACATTGGAGCCTGTGGGGCATAGAATGTTCTGAGCCCCCCCACACCGCCGGAGAAACAACAGCCTGCGTCCCCGCATCGTCCTTGGTCCAATGAGGAGCATGATAATTTCTGAGATAATTTGGTGCAAATACTTTCAGTGCATCCTGTGGCTCCTCACCGCAAACAGCACCCGTCCTGAGGCAACATCAGGGAGTACAATTAGGCATGGTAAGCGGAGTTTGACAACATCCGCGCACTATTCTGGGTTGCACAAAATAGATGGCGCAATTCTTACTCGAAAAACGCCAAACGAGAATGAAAGCACATGAGCAATAGCAATGGAGTGACTGAGTGAGTGAATGAAAGCTAGTTGAAATTGAGTGAAAGAATATTCAAAATCAATCCCAGTTGGGTGAAATTCCAACAGAACGAATTTGGATGAGGCATGTTTGGGAAAAGAAGGCAAAATGCTTGGCTCATGTCAGGGCGGTTGGGGCCATCTCTTCAGTCTTGCTGTCCAATTTCTGCAATTTGTTTGTTTCTATTTGCGCGCTCTGCGAACTGCGATATAGCTTAAATGCGTGTTCTGTGGCCACATGTCGGTGCCATCCATTTTTTGGGGGGCCCTGGAACGGGCCATCTATTTTGAAACCGGTGTATCTCAGACATGATTAGATGGCTCATTTTCTCGAATGCGTAGCAAGGGTTCCCGTTTCACTCTGGGGGTCTGGGGGTTGAGGGTGTGTTCGCTCGACGTTGCGTTTGTGGCCGCAACCGTTCGCAACCGTCCGCAACCGTTCGTACGATCCCCGTATGGCCGTGCCTATGGGAAGTTCTGCAGAGTCTCAGAGGTGGTCAGGTTTGGAGGTTTCCAACGTTTCGTTGCTTCGTTTCGCGTGGCAGGCGTGGCACTTCGTGTCATTCAGACGTGTTTGTAACGTGTTGAAAGTCGTTTTGTGTGGCACGCGCAATACTTTTGCGACGTTTTCAGACGATGTGTGGCAGCTTTCGTGGCAGGCACAGCACTTTGGACGTGTCGTGTTGAGTGTTTTTTGCAAATCGCATTGGCAGGGCTGCGTCAAGTGGCGACAAGGTGCAAATTCCGTGGCAGGCGTGGCATTTTGTGACATGTGTTGCAAATTGACGGAAGCCTCGCACGAAACATCGATTTTGAGGTTGCAAAATTTAGAGCTGGGGCACCTCTTCTCTCAGCTACTTCTTCGCTGAACAGCCTCTTATCTGAGCTACTTCTTCTCTCACTCACTTCTGGGAGCCACCATACCTGTAAAAACACAAGGTTTCACGCCCGAAAGTCGCTTCACCCCCGAATTCACACGCTCCCGAACTGTTACTTCCCTCGACTCTTCCCACCTGCCAACTGCTATTGCTGCCTCTGTGCTTGACATGATGACAACACTCACCATGGACGTTCGTTCGTAACTCGGAAGTTTGCAAACTAAACTTCCTTTGGCTATCGGCATTGGTAACCCCCTAATGAGCTTGTGATTTATTGATGCAAGCCTAACATCAATCATTAATCGTTAATGTCGTGGTAAACCCAATGCCATAGAAGATCCCCTATGCCACCAATTTCATGGATGCTACATATAAACATATATAAACCATCCACAGAAACGACGTCTGCTTGTCCTTCTGCTCTACGCTTGAAATGATGCGCCAGGCCGCACGGCGGGAGCCCACCGTGTTCTTGTAGGCCACGGACAGCAAGTTGCGCTCCTCCACGGAGAGCTCCGAGCCATCATCGCCCACGGCCTCCAAGGCGTCACTGCTGTGAATCTTCTTGGGAAACAAATGTTG